AATTGGCTTATTACAAACTCCTGGTTGTGTATTGATAAGGCTAGTGAAATGTCTATAGTGCTAATGTTAGTTTTACGATGGTTAGGCTCGTCTTTATGCATACACCATGTGTTGGAGTAGGACTCTACTGGTCACCTGCTATGTAAGACACGCTTCCCTCCATTCTCTGCCTGCTCCTCTCTCCCCCTTAGTGGTTGCTCTGCCAGATAAAGGAACAATGTGGCCTTTCTTACCTGGTGGAGGTGTACATTCCATCCCTACTAAACTAAGTCGCAACCCACCCCTGCCCCCACATGCACAGGGCCCTCTCTAACAGCAATACCAGGTTGGTTTAACTCCAGGTGCTCCAAATTACACTCCACAAACCTCTCCTTTCAGAGGACTTCTTCAGGGACATTTTCTTGTAAGGGTTTGGTTAGTTATAGGAAGATGAGTCCTGACCTGCTATATTTGTGTAAAGATTTGTGCATCATCTTGTATCATTTAATGGTTAATTTGTCACAGAATGTAGTCAACATGTAAACATCTATTCATCGTAGCTAAGCTATTTGCCTTGGTTTAAAAGGTGATTCAACGGGTTGCTTGTGGGTCTGTCAAGCCCTTGGTTTGTGGTTTTCTCTTTTGGGGAAATAAGGGACATTGGTTGCTGCTTTACAGGAAGGTTGCTTACATTGCAGGCAGAGACATCCCATTTATGCTGGGGGTTGTCTGTGAAGCAGAGCAGAGAGCTAGAGAGAGACAGAGAGACAGACAGAGTGAGAGAGAGTGAAATCACATGCACTCCCTATAATGGTTGGTTAAAAGAGGACAAATTCACGGACGTCCTCACTAAACTGAATAGAAACACTTTTTTATTCTGTTTCACTTTTTTAAATAAAAATAAAAAATCTCCACCAGGATTATTTTTCTTATGTGTCATTCTGAAGATGTTTTTCTCTTGAACACCTGTTGAAGACACAGAGACATGTTGCTCAGGTATGTTCTTTCACAACCCCCTTCTCTACAGCTTTTTAGCAGCTTATATTTTTTCATTGCCAGATAAGGTTGCTTTGCTGCCTCTTTCAGGTCTGTTTCCAGTGTAAAATATTATCAGTTTTGAATGCACTCATTGTTACTTTGTCATATTAATGTACAAAACAGGTCCTACAAACTTAAGAAGCGGTTATTCAAAGAACAAATGCAACTTAATTGAAAACATACATTTGACAATGAATTGCCATTATATCTAATTCAAAACTAGTCACAAACAAGTATGACAATCATATGCTCAAGCTGAAGGACAGGTATATTATATCATTCTAATCAAACTGTCATCTTCAAGAGTAGAAAGCATTTGGGCCAGAGCACTTATTGTAGCCATTTATTTGGTGAACCATTGACTCACAAGCCTTTTTTTTCCCTCTTCAGTAATTAATGTTAAAGTTACCACACTGTCCATTGTTAAGAAGGATTACCCATACAAATAGCATATTACATCATTTAATCTTATCCACATTACTGTCTATGGGTTTTGCATACAGATATAGAACATGTATTTTTCTCTTAAAATATGAAATGTAGTCTAGTGGATCCCGGTTCCCTGCCAATGTGCTCACAACTGATATTCTTGTTTATGCAACACCTGACGTAAGAAGAGTTCTGGTTAGACAGGCCAAGTAACCTTGTCCCCTCAGTACTAGAGGAAACAGCCTTAGGAAGCATCACCACAAACATAACAGTGGTTGTGGCAGGATATGATGAGAGTTACAAGCCCATCCATGTTGGTTACGCTATGCATGGGAACCTGTAGCTACAGATCACATAGTAGAAATACAACGATGGATGAACGTGTAGTTGGTTTGATGAATTAGGTGAGTGGGTATTTTGTGGGATAATGTCACATCTTTGCAACAGTGTTCAGGTGAGAGCCATCACCTGCTAGTTGTGAGAGATACATGTAGAGTGGAGTGCAAGTGTGAGAGACTAAGTGATTCATCATGAAGTGTTCTACTCTGAAGCAGCAATGTATCCTATGTTGTAAATGATATGCTCTATCACCAAGATCTTTAATCATGGAAACTTGGCATATCCAGATTGCTTGAAAATATTTTGTGTTGCTGAGGAGATAGAAAGTGAAAAAATAGGAAAGATCCCCTCAAGTAAATAAACAATTGTGGTCATGGAAGATGGAATGGTCATAATTGTGCTGTTGCAGAGAATTCCTGCTCTGTTCCTGAGTATTTGTTGAGATCCAAACAAAGCCAGTGAGGAATGAGAGCAAATGCTGGATGATGCAAAAGTTAGACCATGAACTCTCTTCATCCAGAGTATCTTAGTCAATACCTTGCATTCTATAGTGCCAACTTCAATCCACATAACTAAATATGGAACTCATGCATGGTATAATTACTATAAAAACCAGGACAATGTACTGTCTGCTACTCTCAAATGAGGACTTATTAATGTGCTGTCCCAGACTTAAGGTTAAACCCTTTATAAAGGTTATAAAGCCCTCTCTGACTTTCACTTTACTATATGGAGCATGACTGCGGTTAGGCCCCAGCCCCAGTTTGCTGCTGCTGCGGAGGGAACGCTGTGCTGTGCTGTCTCCCAGGAGATTGCCTTATCAGTGTCTGGCATAGCAGCACCACAGCTCAGCTGATAGGATGGATCCAGCCCAACGGAACTCTGTGTGCCTGGCCGTCGCATGTCCCAAAGAGTTCAACACAGAATAGCAACCAAACACTCATATAGTAGGTTACATGTCACAGTGGGTCTACAGTTTTGTATGACTGTAAGTCGCTTTGGATAAAAGCGTCTGCTAAATGGCATATTATTATTATTATTATTATTATTATTATTATTATTATTTGTATGTACATCTTTCTGCAGGGCAAATAGTATAACAATAGTATAGCATGATTTTCTATAATGATTTTAACATGCAATGTTTTTGCTTTGAGGAGACTTCGTCTAGATGAGTGTTTTCCTTGTTTGTTCACAACCACGCATTGAATCCTTAGAGTTCAACATATTCTGATGGCTGAATAGCTGATGGTAATTTTTGTCACTGTCTGTCTCTTCCAGGAGGGAGCGCTGCTACCACAGACTGTCCTGAATGTGTGCAGCAGCCAACTATGTGCTCCCATTGAGGAGACACAGTGAGGTGAATCGGATACGCTTTTCACACTATTATGCTAAACCGAAATAAACTGTCCTGGCTCGGATATTTCCTATTTTGGAGGGCTGTGGCATCATGTAGTGTAATAGACCATATACATACAAAGATATACAATTTATTCATTAAAACAAGCAAAACTACAGTCGTGGTCAAAAGTTTTGAGAATAACACAAATATTAATTTTCACAGTCTGCTGCCTCAGTTTTTATGATGCCAATTTGCATATACTCCAGAATGTTATGAAGAGTGATCAGATGAATTGCAATTAATTGCAAAGTCCCTCTTTGCCATGAAAATTAACTTAATCCCCAAAAAACATTTCCACTGCATTTCAGCCCTGCCACAAAAGGACCAGCTGACATCATGTCAGTGATTCTCTCGTTAACACAGGTGAGAGTGTTGACGAGGACAAGGCTGGAGAACACTCTGTCATGCTGATTGAGTTAGAATAACAGACTGGAAGCTTTAAAAGGAGGGTGGTGCTTGAAATCATTGTTCTTCCTCTGTTAACCATGGTTACCTGCAAGGAAACACGTGCCGTCATCATTGCTTTGCACAAAAAGGGCTTCACAGGCAAGGATATTGCTGCTAGTAAGATTGCACCTAATCTTTTCATTTATCGGATCATCAAGAACTTCAAGGAGAGAGGTTCAATTGTTGTGAAGAAGGCTTCAGGGTGCCCAAGAACATCCAGCAAGCGCCAGGACCGTCTCCTAAAGTTGATTCAGCTGTGGGATCGGGGCACCACCAGTGCAGAGCTTGCTCAGGAATGGCAGCAGGCAGGTGTGAGTGCATCTGCACGCACAGTGAGGCGAAGACTTTTGGAGGATGGCCTGGTGTCAAGAAGGGCAGCGAGGAAGCCACTTCTCTCCAGGAAAAGCATCAGGGACAGACTGATATTCTGCAAAAGGTACAGGGATTGGACTGCTGAGGACTGGGGTAAAGTCATTTTCTCTGATTAATCCCCTTTCCGATTGTTTGGGGCATCCGGAAAAAAGCTTGTCCGGAGAAGACAAGGTGAGCTCTACCATCAGTCCTGTGTCATGCCAACAGTAAAGCATCCTGAGACCATTCATGTGTGGGGTTGCTTCTCAGCCAAGGGAGTGGGCTCACTCACATTTTTGCCTAAGAACACAGCCATGAATAAAGAATGGTACCAACACATCCTCCGAGAGCAAGTTCTCCCAACCATCCAAGAACAGTTTGGTGACGAACAATGCCTTTTCCAGCATGATGGAGCACCTTGCCATAAGGCAAAAGTGATAACTAAGTGGCTCAGGGAACAAAATATCGACATTTTGGGTCCATGGCCAGGAAACTCCCCAGACCTTAATCCCATTGAGAACTTGTGGTCAATCCTCAAGAGGCGGGTGGACAAACAAAACCCCACAAATTCGGACAAACTCCAAGCACTGATTATGCAAGAATGGGCTGCCATCAGTCAGGATGTGGCCCAGAAGTTAATTGACAGCATGCCAGGGCGGATTGCAGAGGTCTTGAAAGAGAAGGGTCAACACTGCAAATATTGACTCTTTGCATAAACTTAATTTAATTGTCAATAAAAGCCTTTGACACTTATGAAGTGCTTGTAATTATACTTCAGAATACCATAGTAACATCTGACAAAAATATCTAAAAACACTGAAGCAGCAAACTTTGTGAAGACCAATACTTGTGTCATTCTCAAAACTTTTGACAACGACTGTACATATGATTTAATGACAGGTTGTTACCGATTGTGTTTAATTATTTGAAGCAAGTACCAGGAAGTACCTGTCGTTTCCACTTCTTATGGCACGTAAATTGGACAAATTGTTATGAGCCACTATCAATATCTAAGGTGATTTGCTATAAGTTCATTTTTATTCTCCAGGGCGTGGCAAATCCTGGCAGGCTGTGTGGGGGGGTGTCGATGCCCACCCATGCCCCTGGAGCCCGGTCACATGGAGCCCCCCACCCACACGACGAAGAGATGGACTTGGCCTGGCAGGAACTGATGGCCATCACTGAGCTTCAGGTAGGAGGATGAGTATTCAATAACGTCGCCATATAGCTAAAATTTGATTTGAGTTTGATTGAGGCTCTCTCTCATCTTCTGCTTACATCACCCAGCTGGTTGTCCCATATTGAAAAACTATAGTTATTTGTTTACGATATCCTTACTGTGTGAGATGCGATTTCATACTGTTGGCCTACCATGGCTGTGAATTAGGCAACCACAAACAGACAGAATACACCAATATACACAATGCTGCAAACCAACCACAGTAGCGTCGCGTTTATGTATATACATTTAATCTAAGGCAATGCTGAGTATTCACACCTAAAAAGTAACACACTCAGATAACACACACAAAAGAATGGGCCAATTGAGTGAAGGGAGGATAAAGAGGCAGGGGGAGGGGGCAAGCGCAGTACTGTACGCTGCAAGCATCTGGGCAGCTCCCTGCACAGCACAATGACCACCTGTTTCCACTTGAAACCTGATAACACACCTAAGAGAGACCTGCATGAGTTATGGGTGGTATACCAAGGTGGAGGTGAACTGTGTGCTATAGCTAGCAGGTGACTTATTATTAAGGTAGCCTGGCCCCCCACACCATACTAATACACTTTGCAGCTTCAGTTCGTACACTCAACCATTCCCCATAGCTGATCTATTAATTATTCTATGATATATACTTTTGCATGTTCACAAATACACACAGCTCTTTAAAACTCAATTGCAAACTTGTAGAATTGTTTTATTTGTTGTCAATTCATATAAACTCAGCAAAAAAAGAAACATCATTTTTTCAGGACCCTGTCTTTCAAAGATAATTCGTAAAAATCCAAATAACTTCACAGAGCTTCAAAACACTGTTTCCCATGCGTGTTCAATGAACCATAAACAATTAATGAACATGCACCTGTGTGAACCATAAACAATTAATGAACATGCACCTGTGGAACGGTCGTTAAGACACGTACAGACGGTAGGCAATTAAGGTCACAGTTATGAAAACTTAGGACACTAAAGAGGCCTTTCTACTGACTCTGAAAAACACCAAAAGAAAGATGCCCAGGGTCCCTGCTCATCTGCGTGAATGTGCCTTAGGCATGCTGCAAGGAGGCATGAGGACTGCAGATGTGGCCAGGGCAATAAATTGCAATGTCCGTACTGTGAGACGCCTAAGACAGCGCTACAGGGAGAAAGGACAGACAGCTGATTGTCCTCGCAGTGGCAGACCACATGTAACAACACCTGCACATGGCAGACCACGTGTAACAACACCTGCACAGGATCGGTACATCCGAACATCACACCTGCAGGACAGGTACAGGATGGCAACAACAACTGCCCGAGTTACACCAGCCTCCATCAGTGCTCAGACTATCCACAATAGGCTGAGAGAGGCTGGACTGAGGGCTTGTAGGCCTGTTGTAAGGCAGGTCCTCACCAGACATCACCGGCGACAATGTGCCTGTATTCTGGAGCGGGATCCATTTGGAGGTGGAGGGTCTGTCATGGTCTGGGGTGGTGTGTCACAGCATCATCGGACTGAGCTTGTTGTCATTGCAGGCAATCTCAATGCTATGCGTTACAGGGAAGACATCCTCCTCCCTCATGTGGTACCCTTCCTGCAGGCTCATCCTGACATGACCCTCCAGCATGACAATGCCACCAGCCATACTGCTCGTTCTGTGCATGATTTCCTGCAAGACAGGAATGTCAGTGTTCTGCCATGGCCAGCGAAGAGCCCGGATCTCAATCCTATTGCGCACGTCTGGGACCTGTTGGATCGGAGGGTGAGGGCTAGGGCCACTCCCCCCAGAAATGTCCGGGAACTTGCAGGTGCCTTGGTGGAAGAGTGGGGTAACATCTCACAGCAAGAACTGGCAAATCTGGTGCAGTCCATGAGGCGGAGATGCACTGCAGTACTTAATGAAGCTGGTGGCCACACCAGATACTGACTGTTACTTTTGATTTTGACCTCCCCCCCCGCACCCTTTGTTCAGGGACACATTATTCCATTTATGTTAGTCACATGTCTGTGGAACTTGTTCAGTTTATGTCTCAGTTGTTGAATCTTGTTATGTTCATACAAATATTTACACATGTTAAGTGAGAGGACGTTTCTTTTTTTGCTGAGTTTAGTAATGATAAACTAATGATGCATAGTTTTCCATAGACAAAGCTTCAGCCAATGATCCTTACCTTGTTTTTCATTTCAGGAGTTTGAGGTCCCACATGACAGCCCATATGAAACTATTCAGTACCATCCCATGGAGCTGCCCATCTCTCTGGGAGGTTATGGCATGGCTCAGTCTCACTTTCATACAGAGCCCCTCCCATGTGGTGGTGAGACAAATCCTGATGCTGCTTATGAGGGATCCTACTCTAAAGTAATGCCAGCCTGCCAACATCAGGCCACCAGGGCAGCAGCAGAAGAGGCACTGTACGGACATTCTGGAGCCCAGCTGAACCCCAGAGTTCTGAACCCTCTGCAGCCACCGCCGATGAGCCTTCTAGAACATTTGAATCTGCCGAGTGTCGGTGGCGAGGGGCTTGTTGGAAACGACAATGCTGGCCTCTCTCAGGGCCCGGGTCAGTACATGCTAGGGACAGGTCAGGGGCAGAGCAAACACCCACCACGCACTGTAGATGATCTGGAGTCTGACTCTGGCCTATCTCTGGGGTCCAGCCCACCACTAGCCTCACCAGATGATGCCATTAATGGTGTACCTGCTTATTCAAGCACAGAGGTTGGTCTGAACTATAGTCACAGGGAGATGGAGAATATGGGTGAGCAAGGTAGGAGAGCTAGCCTCCTTTACTCTGTGGACTATCAGCAGCATCCCAATCACCCCTACCACTACTCAGGGCTGCACTCCTCTTACTTCCCTGTAACGCAACCATCCCAAATGCAACCACAGCCTCACTTCCTGCCTCCCATGTCAATGAAACATAAACAGGGTTTACCCAGTGCTTTGAACGACCGTCATCTTAACAGCTCTGCCACCAGAGAGAGCTCTCCTCAGGCGTTCTATGTAAAACCCAGAGGTAACCCTCTTCCTGTCCCTCTGAGCCGGGATGAACGCCGAGCCCTCGCCCTCAAGATCCCTTTCCCACTAGAGAACATCATCAATCTACCTGTGGACGACTTCAACGAGCTCCTGACACAGTACACCCTCACGGACACCCAGCTATCCCTCGTCAGGGACATCCGGCGGCGGGGGAAGAACAAGGTGGCAGCCCAGAACTGCAGGAAGAGGAAGCTGGAGAACATTGTTTACCTGGAGGGGGAGTTGGGTCAGCTGCAGACCCAGAGGGAACACCTGGCTAGGGAGAGGTTGGACTTCCAACGCAACCTGGCTATTGTTAAACACCGCCTCACAGACTTGTATGTTGAAGTCTTTTCTCAGCTCCGGGATGAGGATGGGCATCCCTACTCTATAGATGACTACTCTCTACAGCAGACCCCTGATGGGAATGTATACTTGGTGCCTCGTAGTGAAGTGTTGGATGGAGAATAATGTAAAGATGAAATCTATTGGACAGTTATTGTATACTGCCTCAGTTTATATACCAATATGAAATTGTTGATAAATCTACAGTACAATAAGTGCCATTAAGTATATTTATATACAACACCATGGAACAGTGTATGTAGAGATCAGATAAAATGGCAGCTAAAATGACACCGTTATACAAACTAATCAATACTTAGTGCCTTTAGAAAGTATTCATACCCCTTGACTTATTCCACATTTTGTTGTTATTGCCTGAATTCAAAATTGATTAAATATACTGAACAAAAATATAAACGCAACCGTTCATATGAGTTACAGTTCATATGAGGAAATCAGTCAATTAAAATAAATGCATTAGGCCCAAATCTATGGATTTCACGACTGAGAATAGATACAGTAAAAGAAAAAGGCCTCAGGATCCTGTCACGGTATTTCTGTGCATTGAAATTGCACAGAATAAAATAAAATGCAATTGTGTTCGTTGTCTGTAGCTTATGCCTGCCCATACCATAACCCCACCATGGGGCACTCTGTTCACAACATTGACATCAGCAAACCGCTCGAACACACGATGCCATACACGTGGGTCTGCAGTTGTGAGGCCGGTTGGACGTACTGCCAAATTCTCTAAAACGACGTTGGTATAGAAATTAACATTAAATTATCTGGCAACAGCTCTGGAGGACATTCCTGCAGTCAGCATGCCAATTGCACTCTCCCTCAAAACTTGAGAAATATGTGGCATTGTGTTGTGACAAAACTGCACATTTTAGAGTGGCCTTTTATTGTCCCCAGCAAAAGGTGATCATGCTGTTTAATCAGTTTCTTGATATACCACACCTGTCAGGTGGATGGATTATCTTGGCAAAGGAGAAATGCTCACGAACAGGGATGTAAACAAATGTGCACAATATTTGAGAGAAATACACTTGTGTGTGGAACATTTCTGGGATCTTTTATTTCAGCTCAGGAAACATGGGACCAACACTTTGCATGTTGCGTTTATATTTTTGTTCATCTACACAAAATAAACCATAATGACAAAGTGAAAACATGTTTTAAGAAATGTTTGCAAATGCATTGAAAATGAAATACAGAAATATCTAATTTACATTAGTGTTCACACCCGAGTCAACACGTTACAGCCCCTTTGGCAGCAATTACAGCGGAGAGTCTTTCTGGGTAAGTCTTAAGAGCTTTGCACATTATACATTTTGCACATTATACTTTAAATTCTTCAAGCTCTGTCAAGTAGGTTGTTGATCATTGCTAGACAGCTATTTTCCCTGAAAAACTCCCTAGTCCTTGCCGATGACAAGCATACACATAACAATGCAGCCACCACCATGCTTGAAAATATGGTATTGGATTTGCCCCTAACATAATGCTTTGTATTCATTTACATTTAAGTCATTTAGCAGACGCTCTTATCCAGAGCGACTTACAGTTAGTGAGTGCATACATTTTCATACTGGCCCCCCGTGGGAAACGAACCCACAACCCTGGTGTTGCAAGCGCCATGCTCTACCAACTGAGCTACAGGGGACTATGATGTATAATAAAAGACAAAGTGTCCCTTTAAAGGAAAAAGAACTGACAAGAAAGAAAATAGGTATACATGTGTTACCAGGATGCTGCTGCAAACACCTGTGTGAAAAATGCTTAGCCTTTTTTTTATCTAACAATTTGGGTCAGAAAAAGCTCAAGAGAATATCTAGGACCTCTGGACTTCAACATGTGTTTATTATAGAGCTAGTGGCTGTCAAGTTCTCTGTTTTGATTACTAAGCAATTGCGGTCAATCTTCACTGATCTAAACCCATACATTAAATGTGAACTTATGCAAATCGTCCCAGGAGAGCTGTTAAGAGTATGGAAATCCTTAATGGGCTGTTTTCATAGTTTTCCTTAAAGGAGAGTAATCAGAGTTTTAGAGAGGAATGGTACACTCAGTGATACAGAGAAGAGAGACCAGCGTCCTAATGAGACTGAAATGCTCTACAAAACAAACTGGGAGTGGTAATCAGGATGGTCATTTCTGTCCTAATTATGTAATGTATACTCCCATATCACTGATATGTATGAGTACGTACTGTTGTCTTTGATTACATCCTACCACCATATCCACTTTGAGTGACCATACCAATATTAAATGTGACCTTGAACAATGAATTGTAAAAACAATTAGGCTTAATTTTGATAATTTTACCATTGTGATAGCACCAATAAAACCAGGACAGTTAATTTGCCACATTACTTTAGTGCCTTATTACAAACAGGATGCATGTTTTGGAATATTTTATGTACATGCTTCCTTGTCAGTCATTTAGGTTAGTATTGTGGAGTAACTAAAATGTTGACCCCATCCTCAGTTCTCCTATCATAGCCATTAAACTGTTAAGTCACCATTGGCCTTATGGTGAAATCCCTGAATGGCTTCCCTTACTCTGTTGCCAGAGGAAGAAGGACACCTGTATCTTTGTAGTGACTTGGTGTATTGATACACCATCAAAAGTGTAATTAGTAACTTACCCTTGGTCAGGGAATTTTAATGTGTGCTTTTCCTAATTTAATATCTACCAATAGGTGCCCTTTGCGAGGCATTGGAAAACCTCCCTGGTCTTTGAGGTAAAATCAGTTTTGAAATACCCTGCTCAACTTACGGAATCATTAAAAAAAAAAATTACTTACTGCCCAGTCCATGCAACTTAAGCACATTTCCACTCCTGAAATTTAAGCTTGCGCTAACAAAGGGTGGTGTTGAATACTTGACAAGACATGTCAGCAATTCATTGAATTAGATACATTTCTAAAATCATAAATCCACTTTGATATGGGGTATTGTGTAGGCCAGTGACAAGCTCAATTTAAACCATTTTAAAATTCAGGCTGTAACAATGTGGAAAAAGGGGGTGCGAATACTTTGTAGTCACTGTAGTGACGCGAGTGAACCAATCATATGGCTATGCGCATTCTGGATACAATGCTTATTTCAATCAAAATGTACATTTGGGAATTCTATTATAAAAATGTCCATGTTAATTTTATACAGTCCATGTACATTAGAGAACATTAAAATTGTTTACCATGTGGTAGTTGAAAATTATTTATAAAATGAGGAAAAGTATGAAGATGTTTGTAAAAAATATTTTATTGATAAACAGGAAATGGGTAAAAACAGGTTAAAATGCTGCACAGCAGTCTTCGCAGTATAAAAATAACCAATTGCATCTTTCTCCTGTCGCCCTAGAAGAGAACGTAACCTTGTTTAAAAATCAGGACAGCCTTACATAATCTCTATTAATATTTCCAAACAGTTATCAAAAGGTTATTGTAGCTTACTTTATGCAACGTAACAGTGTTCAGCTTAATCATGCGTTGGTAGCAGTCCTTCAGATCAGTCAGTTTCCTAGAAAGCACCAGAGGAAAAGGAGACAAATGAGTATCACAGAAGATAAACCATTGAAAGGCGTTAGTCTGATATCATATTTCATCATTTGACTGCAAACGTCAGCATGCATTATGAGATTGGGACACTGGTAAAGACCATGTTACGCAGAAGGTCCAGGCCGTTGTATTAGACGAAGGGGGCATTGGTTTCTAATAAAACACTCTGCACATCCAAATAAAATGTACACGGTCATTAATGCTATACTATTATTTCTACAATAAAACTAGTGTTTGCTCGTACCAACTACAGAACATGTTATTCAAACTAACAGTAGTTGGAAAAGTCTTCTTACCTACAGGCGGCATCTAAGTGCTTTGGTAGCTGCTGTCTGCTAGTCTCACATGCCTTCTTGCTACTCACTCTCCTGCTTCACACTGCTCCTTCCTGCCAGGCGATGGTTTGTTTGCTACGTCTCTCCCTCAGCTGGCTTCCATGGCTGGCTAGCCTCAAGACTGCATCATGTAAGCTAGCCTTCTGCTGGAAGCTGTGCTGTCTGATCTAGCCATCCAACTCACGTCTCTGGTGCAGTTCTCAAAGAGATTGGCTCTGTGTGGACTGAGTATTTGTACTACCATAACTTCATCCATTAGAGTTCATCAAGGACTTCAATGCTATGGTAACACTACTTTGTCACAAACCTCCCATTGTGCTGGGATGAGATGTTCTACATTCTGTAGTATGCGCATTGGAACAGACTAATAATGTCTCAAGTAAAAAGGAATAAAGCATATTGGCCTAGAAAGAGTCTCCATTGGTACTTTCTTCTAAAGAATGGTCATTGACCTCATCATTCAAGTGTGGTTTTGTGTACAGTCAAATGCGTTAAAACAAACCAGAAGACAACCTCCCCCTTCCACCCAATCCCCTAAAAGAAGCTAACAAGACTGAACAACAGTTTAAAAAAACTGAAAGGTGGTTTATTTCAACTTGATTGTTGCAGTTACACAAATAAAAACCAGACGCAAAATCTACATAAAACCTAATTGGAATGCTTGCTTTCCAGAAACATGAAAGAATCCTGTTTGACAGTACAGAAAAATGTATGAAGTCCCTCCATGATTTCTCTATTGTACACATCTCTTCTTGTAGCAGCTGTAACCTGCCACAACTGTTTGGCTGAGCAGATCTATGGTGTAAACCTGCAGCTGCCCTGTCATTTGTCTCGCTCTCCTCTCCTAAGTACTGAGTCCTGTTGAACAATACGGAACAACATTAAGTTAAACTGTGCACTGACTGTAGGATTAACCAGAACCTACTACATGAGATCCAGCATTAGTAACACTTGGATCAAAACACAACTACTAGGATTGTATGTATCAAAGGGTACAAGAATGGCCCCCCAGTTTCTGAACACTACATTTTAAAGACAAATCCTAGAATATGCTCCAGTCTCAGCTACACACGTTGGTTGTTATGGTTGCAAACTGTCACATTAAAATGCATACCTTTTGAACATTTAGAATCGTCGTCCACCGGAGCCCCCGCCATATCCGCCGCCACCACCACCACCACCACCTGAGCTACCTCCATATCCACCTGAAAGGAACAGGGAAACAAAACATACAAAAAGGTCAAAGGCTGAACAATCAACCAGAAAGTACAAGTTACGGTGTGTTAAGTCAGTCAAAGTATTCTTATATAACTTAAGTTCTCTGAAGGCGTGCAAAACCAACATGTGTTAACAGCTCATAACCAGTGCCTGGTCTAAAACCAGTCGGTGCCACCTACCTCCATATGGGCCACTATTCCTGCCACTGCTGCTACCACCACCACTGCTCCCACCACTGCTACCACCACCGCTGCCTCCAAAGTTGTTACCCTTCATTGGGCCATAGTTGGAAGCCTGGTTGTTGTAGTTGCCAAAGTCATTGTAGTTGTTGTTGCCGCCGCCGCCACCACCGCCACCAAAGTTTCCTGCAACACATTTTCAACAGCCACATTACTTATACTGAAATTGGTTCTCTGGACATTACAGGCCCACGGAAATGTAGAGCTGTGATATAAGTGTATTTTGTACGTCACTTTAACGTAGTCAGCCATGACAGAGTTCTCATACTACTTCCCATTTAGTAGGCTATTTGAATTTACAATTATACGATTTTGTAGCATGCGAAATCTAAGGTGTAGTATGGTAACATTTGTTGCTTGCTGCATACAGTATGTAGCAGATCAATACTTTTACCAAACAGAATGTAGTGTGAGAATTAATTCAGCCTATGATGCCATCCACTTACCACCAACTGGGGCTGCTTCTTGTGGTGAAGCCATGGACTTACCGCCGCCAAAGTTTCCACCATTGCCATTGTTGTAGTCGTTATAACCATTTCCACCACCGTAGCCGCCACCCTGTCCTCCACCATAACTTTGTCCTCCGCCGTAGCCACGGTTACCACCACCATAACCACCAGGGCCTCCACCATAACCACCTATAGAAAGGAAAGTTCTAGTCTAAATACACTGCAATCTGAAAAAATATATACATGGACTAGTCTTGCTGTGGGTTTTCATATAATGTATGTTGTGGTAGGTTTTTCCTGCTGTAACGACTCATGTTTACTTGTATACCAGCTAAAATTGCCACCCTGATAAAAAATAAATGCTATTGAATGGCCATTCTAGAATCCAAATCTTACCATCTCCTCCCCCATAACCATTGTTGTAACCACCATCTCCTCCTCCATATCCACCCCCTCTGCCTCCTGAAACAGACGAGTCAGCATCACCTAAAGTATATTGAAACAGTCACAACGGGTTAAAGCTTACAGGTTCAAGCTGAGAGAGTGGTGCAGGCCCACAACATACCATTGCCACCGAAGTATCCATCATCACGACCAAAATCATTACCTCCATATCCCCCACCTCTGCCATAGTTGCCGCCACCTCCGCGGCCTGGAAAGGAAAATTCAAACAATTAGTACCAGCTCAACGCAATAGAAACAACTCATGATTGAACTACTAAATCAATCTTGCCAATTATATTACGCAAAGTGACTGATCAGTACTCAAATAAGACGCATCATTATAATGTGTTTGTTTTTCCAGGTCAGACCACATGTCCTGAAGCAGGAAATACTCCTGTCCCTTTCAGTGTGCAAATGTACTTACCACCCCTCATTCCCACTCCTGTTGTCTGCATCTCCTGTCTGGACAATGCTTTCCTCACTTCGCAATTGTGACCATTTACCGTGTGGTATTTCTGGACTGGAGATAGAATGGCTGTGTTAAATTCCAGCAGATAACTCATGAAAGTCAGCTATTTTCATTCCAATACAAAAGAGATTCAGTGTTGAGACAATTACTTACTGACAATCCTGTCCACAGCATCATGGTCATCAAACGTGACAAAGGCGAAGCCCCTCTTCTTGCCACTGGTGCGGTCGGTCATAATGTCTATTACTTCAATCTTGCCAAACTGCTCAAAGTAGTCTCGCAGGTGGGAGTCTTCTGTGTCTTCCTTGATACCGCCAACAAATATCTTTTTCACTGTGACGTGAGCACCTGGACGGCTAGAGTCCTCTCTGGACACTGCCCTCTTGGGCTCTACCAGCCTCCCGTCAACCTTGTGGGGGCGTGCTTCCATGGCAGCATCAACCTCATTCACACCAGAGTAGGTGACAAACCCAAAACCTCTGGAGCGTTTGTTGGCTGGATCTCTCATGACCTGTTGATGAGATTTAGTTTAACGCAAAATATTATTAAAATCGACAGATGTTCCATTTAGGTTCACCAAACATTCATTCACAAGCAATGGAAACCAGTGTGCCACTGTAGTCCATTCCTGTACAGTTCTCCCTGCATCTGTTAATAATATTGCTAGCTATATTTTAATATATAGAAACTCACCACACAATCTGTAAGAGATCCCCATTGTTCGAAGTGTTCTCGCAAACTCTCATCCGTGGTTTCGAAGCTCAGACCTCCGATGAACAGTTTGCGGAGCTGCTCGGGTTCACGTGGGGCCTGGAGGGAAAAAAAAAAAATATATATTTAGAACAAAAGACGCAGATCAGCAAGCGAGCGCTACATTGTGGCGAACTCGAAATATTGGTTACCCCAACAGTTGGTCAATTTTCATGCAGTTAAAATTCGTCAAAACAAACACTTTGCGGAGTTCAAACAGTAATATCAGATGCCGTTAACATGGGGTCGACAGCGCCATGTTGTACATTCGGCAAATGTGAACCAAAACAAGAAACGAGGTAATATGCGATGGGTGAATCATGGATTACATGATTTGACTAACATTAAACACAACACAATGAGAAATGGTACGTCCTTTATTGCAAAATGGCTGAGCAAAACGCACGAACAATAAAAGGCCATGAGGCCTGCAAGATGGCGGCGTCCCCACATGAGCTATGGCTGTAATAGATACTCGCGAGTGGAAAGCCATTTTGGTTAGATTGGTCAACGTACACGTTAAATTAAACGCTAAAAGCACATAAAATGTTATGTAGATACTCGTTAGGAAAAACGTACCTCCTTCGACATTGTGGCTGGTAGCTTACGATTCGTTTGCCTTATTCGAGGACAGACTATCTGCGACAGAGTGAGACGACGCTTGAATTGAAACAAAGAGTACAATAAATAGAACGGACACACCTCTTGGATTCAGCGATTGGTTAGCTATTGACGCTGCATTCGATTTCTCACTTCCGCTGCAACTCCGATTGGGTATTTTGCGGTCAATTATCAGCAATGTCCAATAACAAAACGATACCAGCCGGAGGTGGGTCTGGGCTTACGTTTTATATCAACATTTTATGCAGACGTCACTTCAATTACAATTCCATTCCCAGGCAAGTCTGTATAAATATAAGCAAATAGGTTATTTGATAGAAGTAATACCAAAAATACGTAAGCATATTTCTAAACGAACATAGCTACAACATTTACTGATTAACTTCTAGTTATTTGGCTTGACGGTTTCGTGCGTGTGCACGTTCTGCCATTGTGCATTTTGGCGCTCGCTTTCTTGCACAGCGAGGCAAGCAAGCAAGTCGTGTGGGGAGGGGAAACGAAAAGCCCAGCAACAGCATCAAGAAAACGAACCAGCAAACTGCTCAAGCTAGCAAGGGTGAGTAAATACATACAGCAATTTATTAGCTACTTAACTCATCTTAGTTACTTACAACCCCCCCACCAACACACACATTGCAATCAATCAGACTCAAGTAAAAAGTATTGAGGATAACGCTTGATAAATTGTTAACGTTAGCTACTTAGCCGGTGGTGAACAGCTAGCTATCTCATTTTAATGTTAGCCGGGCGGGGGTTGGGACAAACACAAGTGTACATGCGCTTACGGCTATTTAGCTAGATTGGAATGCCTCTCTGTAAATGTTACATTATCGTTTGCGAACTGGAACAAATTAAAACTATTAGCTAACTAGTTAATGTACCCCTATTTATTTTAGAGGACATGGCCATGTGTTGTATGAAGCAAAACATATGCTTGCCAGCTAGCCGTGTTGGCTAACTTAGCAAATGTTAACCTAGCATGGTTTTTAATTCGAGTGATTCCCTGGCTTTAAACGGACGATCATCTAGCTGTATCATGGTTTTATACTAGCTAGTTATCTAACTAACTAGTACCAATGAACAGCTGACCAATATAAATTGCACGCATTTCTTAACTTTTGTTTCTATGTTTAATAGGTTTTATTTCAAACTTTCCATTTCCAAGTTGGGACGTGCCCCTTGTTAACTCATTTGAGGTACTGCTACCAAACCATGGGCAAGAAGACTCGTGAAAATGATGATGATGCCTCGGGCTCATCTTCAGAAGAGGAAGAATTTATTGTGGAGAAGGTTCTGGATAGAAGGACGGTGAAGGGCCGAGTTGAATTCTTCCTTAAGTGGAAAGGCTATTCAGAGTAAGTCCATCTGGGGGATTCCTCACAAAACTAGAACAAAACAAGACCATGATTTTGTAGATTTTCACGAAGTGTAAATCCATAGAAGGGTCCTTTGGAGAAAGTATTGTTGATCTATGTTTGAGTTTTGTATCTTAAAGCATAAGTGAGGAATGGTTAATTGAAGTTGGAATATTTGACATTTTTGGCCATCAGTGGGTGCTACAAAGCAAAAGCTGGTGTCATATAAAGCTTTACTGCTTGATTTGGCTCACTTTTCAATATATTGTTGAACATAATATAATAATTTGGTGGGTGCTTGTATATGTACTACTTCACACATAGGCGCACACAAAGACATTTAGGAGCACAAGGAAAGATAATTGAGGTAATAAAGATAGAATCCTTAATTTCAGGTCACACAGCAAAATATTTAGGCGCATATGTGAGTAAAATGGTCACGCTGTAGAGGCCTGAAAAGTGTGTATTAATATGCACGTGTGAAGTATTTTTTTTCCATATCTAAGTAGTTATGGGCCATAGCTTTAAAACTAGCAGAGATCCTACTCTGGAACTTGTATATGCAAATAGTATGTTATGTTCAACAATGGCTGCATTCCAAACCCATAAAAGACACACCCTCAACCCACAAATTAAATGGACACTTTTGATGACGCATCATGACGTAAGATGAGTTGACACTTGCAGAAATGTGTCACTCGTTCGTCCCACGGTTGTGTTTTCAGTCATCATGGAACCACCGGTAGCTGTTGTGTGTGCTTTATATGCGCTACAGTCAATTATGATTGCAATTCGTGTCTTGGCTAGAAGACCACGCATCCGCGGACATCGAATATTATGCATCCGATGGTACCAGGAAAATCGAAAATTATAATGTATGAGTGTGATGTCAGGGAAAGTTGTATGCGCTAGCTAACGTTTTCAAAAGCAAACTAAACAAACTTTTACGATATGTTTGTGCCGTCATGTGCATTAGTAGCACAGTTTCTAACTTATTTACATTTGTTTTTACTTACACTTGTATATTGACGTTGGTTTTAAGTTTTGGCAGACTTTTCTTAGTGGATCATCTTAAATTTTAATTATGGGGTGTTTCAGGCCCCGGAGTGAACAGAATTGTACACTCGCATACTCGATCACAAACGAGGGCTGAACGGCTAACGTTGCCAACTTCCCATGCTTGGTTAATTGTTTGGACCGACGGCAAAGATGGCTGTGGGTATTCCCCCAAGGGCATAAGGTGAGGGTAAGTGGAATATATATATATATATATATATATATACACACACAACCGTTCAAACGTTTGTGGTCACTAAGAAATGTCATTTTTTTTCTCGAAAGAAAAGCAAAAAAGTGTCCATTTTAAAATAACATCAAATTAATCAGAAATACAGTGTAGACATTGTTAATGTTGTAAATGGCTATTATAGCTGGAAATGGCTGATTAAAAAAAAAAAAAAGGAATATCTACATAGGCGTACAGAGGCCCATTATCAGCAACTATCAGTCCTGTGTTCCAATGGCACGTTGTGTTTGCTAATCCAAGTTTATCATTTTAAAAAGCTAATTGATCATTAGAAAACCCTTTTGCAATTATGTTAGCACAGCTGAAAACTGTTGTGCTGATTTAAAGAAGCAATAAAACTGGTCTTCTTGAGACTAGTTGAGTATCTGGAGCATCAGTAATTGTGGGTTCGATTACAGGCTCAAAATGTCCAGAAACAAAAAACTTTCTTCTGAAACTCGTCAGTCTATTTTTGTTCTGAGAAATGAAGGCTATTTCATGCGAGAAATTGCCAAGAAACTGAAGATCTCGTACAACGCTGTGTAATACTCCCTTCACAGAACAGCATAAACTGGCTCTAACCAGAATTGAAAGAGGAGTGGGAGGCCCTGGTGCACAACTGAGCAAGAGGACAAATACATTAGTGTCTAGTTGGAGAAACAGACGCCTCACAGGTCCTCAACTGGCAGCTTCATTAAATAGTACCCGCAAAACACCAGTCTCAATGTCAACAGACTCCGGGATGCTGACCTTCTAAGCAGAGTTGCAAAGAAAAAGCCATATCTCAGACTGGCCTATAAAAAGAAAAGGTTAAGATGGGCAGTCTGAGATACAGCTTTTTCTTTGCAACTCTGCCTAGAAGGTCAGCATCCCGGAGTCGCCTCTTCACAGCATTCCAGGTGAAGCTGTTTGAGAGAATGCCATGAGTGTGCAAAGCTGTCATCAAGGCAAAGGGTGACTATTTGAAGAATCTCAAGTATATTTAAATTTTAGTCATTTAGCAGACACTCTTATCCAGAGCGACTTACAGTTAGTGAGTGCATACATTTTCATACTGGCCCCCCGTGGGAAACGAACCCACAACCCTGGCGTTGCAAGCGCCATACTCTACCAACTGAGCTACAGGGGATATAAAATATATTTTGGTTTGTTTAACACTTTTGGTTACTACATGATTCCATATTTTTGATGTCTTCACTATTATTCTACTATGTAGAAAATAGTAAAAAAAATAAAGAAAAACCCTTGAATGAGTAATTGTCCAAAATTGACTGGTACTGTATATATTTTCAATATTCATGTTTTATATTTTCAGTATTAACAAATGAAAATGCTACTCCTGTTACAGTACAAGCCGTAAAGCTTCATTTGACACTTTGCTTTGTAGCACCTACAGACGAAACATGCCGTCTTTAAAGGAGGCCTGGGTAAGGCCAAAATGAAATTGTCTCAATAATGATTTAAGAAACAAATGTCAAATATATGTCAACAATACTTCCTCCAAAGGACCCTTCCATGGATAACATTTTGATGAAAATCCCCAAAAGAAAATGGTCTTGTGGTGGTCTAGTTTCGTGTTGCTGTTACTTTGAAAAAATGTTTGCAACATGAATATGGTTCCTGTAGCAGTAGCTAGCTCATTTCTACCCCTAACAATTCATATTGGTATTTATTTTTCATGCCTTCCAGTATGTTTCACAACCAGTGTTGAAATGTTTTGGTTACCTTCATGCTCTATACAACGCTCTGATTCGTGCACACAGAGGGTTGGGTGTAAAGAAATTATTTGGAAACTCGTGAAACGGCCAGTGCAGGGGGTTTTCTGGGTCAAAATGGGGCTTAGGTGGTGGGCATGGTTTCATCATAGTCTTTATTTTAGTTCTCAAAGATCTTCTTTAAAATAGGTCCATCATTTTCTACATACTACATTTACACTGAAGAACCCCCCCCCCCCCCCCTGCAGTGTGTACCTCCTATCGAATATTTTGTTGCACTTGCTCTGACATTGCATTATTCTTTGCAGAAAGCACAACACATGGGAGCCAGAGAAGAATCTCGGCTGCCCTGAGCTCATTGCTGAGTTCATGAAGACCTACAAGAAGCCTAGCAGTGGTAACGGAGGTACCACCCCCAGCAGTGGAGGTGCCAAGTCCAGCGCGGGATCATCAGGCCGCAGCAAGGAAGGCAGCAGCAAGAGGAGGAACTCTGAAGATGATGAGGAGGGGAGCAGCAACAAGGCCAAACGGAAAAAAGAGGTGCGTACCCTACCTCATGAATTGGTGTAGATAAAGCCTTACCCACATGTGCCGAATACAACCGGTGTAGATTTTACTGTGAAATGCTTACTTACGAGACTTTTCCCAACAATGCAGAGTTAAAAACTAAGAAAAATTAGCTAAAAGGAAACTAACACAATTAAAATAACAAGGAAATTATATACAAGGAGTACCGGTACAGAGTCAATGTGCGGAGGTACGAGGTAGTTGAGGTAATATGTAGGTGGGGTAAAAGAGACTAGGCAATCAGGATAATAAACAGAGCAGAAGCAGCGTGTGTGTGAAAGTGTCTGTCGTCGATATGCGTGTGAGCGTATGGAACGTGCGTTTGTTGAAGGGTCTGTGTAGTATGCATGGGTAGAGTCCAGTGAGTGTTCATAGAGCCAGTGCATGAGTTGGTGCAAAAACAAGGGTGGGTTTTTTAAAATATAGACCATGCTAGGTTGTTTACACTAGATAAGAGCTATGCGAATTGACTGCCACATGCAACTCTACAAACCAGATCATCACGTTCTGAAAGGGGGTGATTTGCATTGCAATTCGTTACCTCTCCAGCTTTTGCAGCCCACTGATAGGTCAGTCGACACTTTTAACAACCTCTTCGGTGTCCAGCCAAGTGCTGCAGCATTGTTATTGTTGGCTAGAACAAAAGCTTGATCTCCCTGGATAACTTCATTTGCATAATTATAACCAACTGAAGATGGCTCATTTTAAACTGAAATGGTAAGCAACACCCAACTGCTCAACTTTCACTAGAATGACAAAGACTTTGTGAAATACAACTGTTCTCTCTGGTTTCTGTGCTTGTTTCCTGCTGTGGTGCCAAAGTTTCACTTGTAATGACAACAGAGATGATCAGAGGTATAATTGGTCATTTCTCCCGTCTTCCAGGATGATGTCCTGATTGCGAGAGGCTTTGAGAGAGGTCTGGAACCAGAGAAGATTATTGGAGCCACAGACTCCTGTGGAGACCTCATGTTCCTCATGAAGTGGTGAGTGTTGAGTACTTAGACATTGTTGGCCTTCATATGTTGTCCACTAGATTATGCCACTAAGAATGTCTTCAAAATGGTGACCGGAAACTGCTTAACTGAAGTGGTTGCTCACTTAAAGTTGATTTTGTTAACTATTCCACCTCTAAAACAGTGGGTCTTAAGAACTTTCTGCTTTTCCTGATCCAGTCTTGTGACAAATCTTAAATTGTCGTTGTTTCCTAAGCAGTCTGCTACAGCATATTATCTTTACATCACTATCATCATAGTAACAGGCCTGTAAATAAAGCATGTTTATTTCCTCTCGCTACAGGAAGGACTCTGATGAGGCAGATCTGGTGCTGGCCAAGGAGGCCAATCACAAGTGCCCGCAGATCGTCATAGCCTTCTACGAAGAGCGCCTCACCTGGCACGAAGACGGGGACAAGAAGGAGAAGGGCACTGTAAGCATGTAAGCAGGAAGTGTCACCCCCCCCCCCCCCCCCTGACTCTGCTGGGACGACCTAGAGACAGACTCATATAGCCAGTACCAAATCGCACCCTATTCCTCCCCTTGGCCTTAACCTTTATATGTTGGCTTTTTTTTTTTGTCTGGATAGGTATAAGCAGTGTAGTGGTACATTTTTCCACCACATTGCTTCTACCTTACAGCTCTGATAACATTGAAGGTTTATGGCAAAATGGATGGTTTGGGAGCGATTTGGGACCAACTGACCCCCCCACCCCTTTGCAATGACCATAACAAAAACCACACAAACCAACGATGGAGGACATTGCCCACTTCTTCATGATACCCACCTCCATTTCCCAATGTACAGGTTAATTTCCCTGAATAACAAAGAGCCCAACCTAGCCATTTTACACACAAACTGAGAAAGATGAGGGAGGACTTGGGGTTTTGGAGGTGGTGAAACAGGCGGGCTGCACTCACTACTGGGGACGCTTGTGGTTTTTCTTTCCTCTTGCTTTATTCCCTTTCTGTATATCTTTTTATTTTTGCTGTTTGAAAAACTACACCACGGGATATGATTGTGTAAGTACGATTCTAGATTCTGTGGTACCCTGTCTAGGTACAGGCAGCCATCTTAAGGTGACTTGGAAGGTAGTAGTCTTAACTGAGGGCTAACGTTAAAATGGCCACGTCTATAAAAGCATGATCCAGTGCCCTGTATAAAATTCCTGCCTACTTCCTGAATCATGGCCTGTTTTTTAATGGGATTCAAGAGTATATCATTGAATTCATGGAAACGTGGTCATTTTAAGATTTAAAATTATATTCCTATTAGTGGATTAATTTACTTCTACCCAATGCCTTTTATTAAGTTTTTTCGATTACGAAAAAAACTATTGAAAAACCTTCATGAAAGCCATCAGTCAGAAGTAAATTAATCTATTAATATAATTTTACATGCATCTTAAATGACTGTGTTTTCATGAATTTGATCTACTCTTGAATCCCATTCAAAAACAGTATGGGACATGATCCAGGAAGTAGGTGGGACTTTCATAGAGGATTCACAAAGCGTCTCATCGGAGTAGGAGTGCTGATCCAGGATCAGGTCCCACCTGTCCATATATTCTTATTAATTGTGATCTAAAAGGTAAAAAAATAGATCCTGGATCAGGCACTCTGGGGAAACTTTGAATGAGCCCTCGACATGTTTGCCCAGGGAAGATGACAGCCTTGCAAGTCTTAACAAACCTCGAACATAACAGTAGTTATGCGGTAGAAAAAATACAGTTTTATCGTCATCAGATCACCTACTAGGACCCCTTGGTAGAATAATCTCCCCTGCTTCTTTTTTTGTTCAGTAGTTTTAGTCCAACTTTGATGTTCTAAGGTCAATATGGTCTCTGTAAGGACTCCATGTCTTGTTTTATTTCTCAAAATATTCGCTAGTATCACCTACATTTCAATATTTAATTTTTTATTTTTATCCATTGTCTTCTGTTTTTTATCTTCCCCTGGTCAACTAATCATGTAGGTCTGATTCCATTGCTAAGATCATGAACATTTAGTCAGATTATCTGCTTTTTCATAACTTGGAATTGGATTCTTCTGATTACCTTTTTTTTTTTTATCAAACAATTTTATCACAAGCACAAATAAGCAAATATTACAGATGCACAGACGGGCCACTTCAAAAGTTGTACCAAATGTTTCAAGCCATCTTTATTTGCAAATGTGAATGACCATTGATTGCTATATATATATATATATATATATATATATATATATATAGTAAACACGTTATCACAGCGTTGCTTAATTGGAACCCGAACCTTCCTTAGTTCAGAAGTCAGTTGACAATCAGCATGCCACATGCTCTGCAGTAGAAAGTGAAACCAAACCAGCATACTGAATGATTTCATCAAGGTATGCCACCCTGTGGCTAAATGGCTCAGCCAAAGTGCTCTGCTCAGTGCCCTGAGTTGGAGAATGGGATAAGGCAGATCTGGGCTTACTTCCAGACAGTGTTCCTTCATGGGAATGCTTATCGATCTATTTTTAACATTTTAAGATCCCTTTCAGTGCTTTTGAGTATTAAGTGGTGAAATCCACACAACCTTCAGAGTATTTGTTCCACTTGCTATCACTGTAAGTTGATTTTAAAGGGAGTTGTAGAAAGATAATTTGTCCTGACCTGAATTTATAGTTTTATCTTTCTTGTTAATGCTAAATAATGAAAATAAATTGGGAAGACAATGTTATCCACATAATTTGCTTCATATTAGATTATTTTTTTAAACGACCTATTCTATCCAGTCTTTGTGTTGAATGTAGTAACGAGAGCTTTGAGTTTGTATTCACTGCCTTTGCTTTTGTGTTCACGTTTTATATTTAGTTGCCCATGATATCACATCCAAATGTGTGGTAACAAAGAGCAAGGTTGTTTAGTCACAGAATAGAGGCAAAGTATTCCAGTATATTTGGTGGAGCCTATATCATTGAGTTGATAATGGACAGATTGCTGTGTATTGTGGTCAAATATACTCTTTTTCAATTTGTGATGTTTATTTTTATATAGGAGCAACTGAGTCCTGAGTTGTCTTGTCACTGTAGTCATAGAAACAAATGAAAGATATCCTTCTCTCTTCAGAAACGTCCCTATTCAGGACAAATGTAACGGTTGTCCATTTTTCATGTTTATTATTATTCACAAATTTACTCTGATTTCATTTGAAGTCCATTTTTGATCATGTTTTTTTTCTTCAAAATGTTCTGCATTTGGTGTATTTTACCATTTTTTAAATGCTCTGCAAATTTGGGTTTTATATGTATTGTAGTAAACTGTTTTCAACATTCAAAGGACTGGTGACGTTTCTACTAGAGTACTGTGCACTAGTCATATTGAACCAGCAGATGGAGCCATTTGGCATGTCACTGGCCATTTCAGAAATGAAATCCTGAAATGGACCTATTGTGAGTATTTATTGCCCGTAATCTAATCTCATTGCCCACATTACAGAGAATACGCATTGTATCTTATCGAGAGATTCAATGATTGATATACTAATAGTAGATTTATTCATGGACTAGGCTGTCAAGTCAGACTTTAAAAAAAACCAGTTTAATTCAAGAGTGCAATGTAGGCGACAGATGGAATATTGACTCCTTTTAATGCAACCCTGTGTGTGTGTGTGTGTGTGTATATATATATGAACTATTTCAATGGAATATTCTCTTCCACCTGGCCTGTATGAAACAGCTGTATATAGGGAAGTCTTCAACTAAGCCCTAGAGTTATTCCTGCTTCGATTACATGGTGATCACGAACATTTACAAAGTGCTTACTCACCATTTAATAATCAAGGAACTGCAAAAATACTTTAGTAATCATTAGTAAATGGTTTAATGTGGGAGTAATTATTAGTAAATGGTGAACACACAATTTATAAAATATGGACCTTTAAAATAAGGTGTTACCCATCCTGGTAGTGAATGAATAAGCACATACTGTATATTAGACAGAAGAAAATCACTGAATGCCTTATAACCATTTGCTCATATAATACCATATAACAGCCTAACTACATATTTCAATTGTCCCCCCCTGCCCACTTTAAGTGTTTAAATATTAGGCTACATATAATTCAATAGAAGATAACCGAGAGAGGGAGACTGCCAGTTCCTTAATGTTTTGGCTGTAGCCAACGGCTGCATTAAGGAACTGGTAGACTTTCTATTTTTTTAAATATTAGGCTACATATCGAACCCACAATTGCTGATGATCCAGATACTCAACTAGTCTCAAGAAGGCCCGTTTTATTGCTTCTTTAATCAGCACAACAGTTTTCAGCTGTGCTAACATAATTGCAAAAGGGTTTTCTAATGATCAATTAGCCTTTTAAAATGATAAACTTGGATTAGCAAACACAACGTGCCATTGGAACACAGGACTGATGGTTGCTGATAATGGGCCTCTGTTCGCCTATGTAGATATTCCATAAAAAATCAGCCGTTTCCAGCTACAATAGCCATTTACAACATTAACAATGTCTACACTGTATTTCTGATCAATTTGATGTTATTTTAATGGACAAAAAAATAGCTTTTCTTTCGAAAACAAGGGCATTTCTAAGTGACCCCAAACTTTTGAACGGTAGTGTATATTTTTTTTGGGGGGGCCAGCCCACCCTAATAAAATATAATCCTTCTGGTAATTGCCAGATGGACAATCCGCCCATGCCTGTTGGTTCTATCTCTCTCTCTATCTATTTAGAATGCTACATTTAGGGGGGTAGAATTTTCCAAGCAAAAAAAAGAAAAAGCTCTTCCACTCCAAATGGAATGCAAAGGTCACCAGTAAATTATCCAGCCTGTGGGACCATTAAACCCAGCAGAGGGAGTGAACAGCAGGGGATTTTATGGAGCCTGTAGGAGTCTGCTCACTCTACTGAAGAACTGGGAGTGGTGCAGTGGGAGAGGATCTGTAGTACTCTATGTTCCGATTGGCTATTCTTCTCCCAAAGTGTGCACTTGTACACCTGCCTTTATGGATTTAAAAGGAATGGAATGACTGGTGTAAGGAATAAACTGGAAACTCCCTCCAGCCATGCTTGCGCCAATCCAATGCATTTAAATGCATGAAGGGGAGTGAAGGAGTGCACACTTCTGGAGAAGGGTAGAGAATCAGAAGGCATCCTTAGTCAGGACCAGGGGAGCTTTCTCTGTCCATGATGTGTATGGTGAATAAGCCCCAAGGCTGAGGCGTCTCTGGAAGAATATGAGCATTCTAGAGAGGGTTGAATCAAACCAACCAGGGAGGGACTACGGACGAGAATTTGTTGTCTAGCAAAATCAGGCACTAATATTACTGATATTACACCCCAGTATTGTGTGTATCTGTTGTGTACTGTTAAAATACAATATATGGATTTCAGGTGAGGATTGTTGCATTGATGTCATGGAGTGTGAGCAGACCTGACAAATTGACTGAGCACAGGTACTATT